CTTCTATTTCAATCTCTCATGTGTTGCCCCTTTAGAAGCCGACGGAAGGGAAATGTTCGGGTCTGCAGGAGGAGGCTGTACCGAGTGACGAGGCCAGCGCAGAAAAACCACAGGAGAAGCTGGACGCCTCTGAACCAGAACGGGACTGGGGCTGCAGCGGTGTGAGTCCCACAGCCCAGCTGCAAAGCAAGGAAGAGCTGAGCTCTGTGGGGGAAGGCGAGGCAGCAAGCCCCCCAGACCTTGGGGCTGGTGCTGATAAATGGACTGGAGAGGGGTGCAGCGCCCCAGCAGAGAGCGAGGACTGGCAGAAGGATGGCAGCGTATCCCCTGTGTGGGACAGCACTGTCCCAGAGACAGAGCTCCACGAAGCCTGCCCGGGTAAGAGACGGGGGCCGGCGCCCAGCGTGCGCTCTCCTGTGTGGTGAATGTGGGTCCGTGGAGTATTGAAACCTGGAGAATATTTTGGAGAAGTTAGAACAACTCGGTGCAGGAGAGACAGGAGGTGCAATCTGAAGCTTTGTTTTAATAATCGGTTATTCTTCCTTTTGTTTGTAGAAATTCCACTTGAGGACATAAAGGACCTTCCTCGAACTCGGGCTGGTCTCCAGGCTTACAGAAATCACTTGGTCATGGAGCTGCTGTGGTTGCAACAAGCTATCGTCAGCCGTAAAAACGTAAGGGCCTGACCCTGCCTCTTCCAAACAGCCCGTCTGCAGCCAGAGCCGTGCCGGCTGCGGTGCGACTGGGGTTGAACGGGGATGGTTCAGGTACCCAAGGACTGGACAGGATGACAGCAGTGCCCCATTTTTCCTTCTCTGGGGAGAAAAAAAAAAAAAAAGGAATGATGAAGGAGAGCAGTAGCTGTTTAGATCTGGTTACAAGCTTTTCCCCTGGCCTGCTCCGGGGACGTGGCTGCGTTGGCGCGGCTCCTGTCTGCACCGAGCAGCAGGACGTACCTTGGCCTCGGCTTGCTTAGCGAGCTGCTGTTGGCGTTGCCTGAAAGGTGAGACCGGCGCATCTTCTGGCCAAGGGTGATGATTTCGCTGCAAGGGTGGGTGCTTTCTGACTTTAGGTCTTCAGGATTCACTCATTAATGCTTTGTTTCCTTTCTCTTGCAGTACTTGATGCTGAAGAAGAGGCTGGGGACTCCTGGCCCATAGGATGGTGTTCCCAAGCACGTGGGGCACTTGTGTGGAGAAACTGGAGCTGTGGCACCGCCGTCGTGACATGACCTCACGGGCAGCAGTGGCTATGGGGAACTCTAGCTCTGGGGGTTGACGTTTTCCACTTCAGACAGATGTGGCAAGAAAGCCTTTTATTTCTTTTAAATGTGAATATTTGGTCAAAGCAGGGATTAAACATCCCTGTGAAGCCAGGGAGGTGGTTGTGTGACCTGGAGGGGCTCCCAGCGAGGCCTCCTTCCCCAAGAACCCTGTTTCTGTTGGCTGAGCTGGATGGTCCTAGGGGAAAATCGGGGCTGGGAAGACTGGCACTGAACAGAAGGCGCTTTCTGACCAGCTGATGGCTTGTGGTGGAACTAAAACGCCTGAAGGCAGCAGGTGCTTTGAACCTACAGGAAACTGTGTGTGACCCGTGTCGGTACCTGAGCCGTGTGTTTGGGGTGGCTTGTCCGATGTTGGAGGAGGGGTCCCTGACGTTCCTGTGTGCTTGGTGGGGAGCCATGGCCCATCAAACCTGACCTGCAGGGGATGAGGCTTGGTTCCTGACTTGTGCGTCTCTGGCCATGGTAATCTGTGTGGCAGCGTCACCTGGGTGTCCGAGTCCCTCAGAAAGGGACTTTCCATGTGGTGCAGTGGTTCCCTGAGTGACCCCGAGTCTTCTCTGCGTCCCCGCTGACTGAATGGTCACTCTTGCCACATGCCAGACGTTATCTTTCTGTTTCTGATTGTGCCGACTTGTTTTTGAATAAAAAGCTTTCCTGAAGCTTGTCTCTGGTGGCTGTTCCTCTCTGGCTTGCTGCCTTCTGGGCAGAGCCACGCGAGCCCAGGGCCCACTTCACCCCACCGCAGCCTGGTCAGTGCAGCGCGTGGGGTGGGGATGTTTGTTCTCCTGCAGCAGCAAGCGCTGGCAAAGGGGTGACAGCCTCTGGATGGGACTGAGCTGCTGCCCTCCAGATCCTGGCGCTTGCCATGCCTCCTGCCTTGTTCCTCTGAGCCTGGTGGCCACAGTGGCTGCTGAGAGAGCTCGCAGTGCTTGGTGTTGGAGGATTAACGAGCTGTGTGGTTCCTGGTTCTCGGATAGAAAGCTGCTCTGCCTCCAGACGAGCCCACAACTTCCTCCTGCTCGCTCTGCATCCATGGAGACAGCCAGTCGTGCCAGCCTGCGCTGGGAAGGGACAGCAGGACACGAGAGGGGCTGGCCGGAAGGATTTGGGCTTGGCGGGAGGCTGGCTGGAGCTCTCCTCCGCTCCCCACGTTGGTCTGTTCGCCTCTGTGGTCAGCGGGGCTTGCCTGACCCATGGGGATGAGCTCCCGCGGCTTAGTGCTGGCACCTCCAGCCAGGACCGTGGTGGTGTATCGCAACGGTGACCCCTTCTTCCCCGGGAGGAAGTTTGTGGTCAGCCAGCGGCGGTTCCTGACCTTGGAGGCGTTTCTGAACGAGGTGACCAGGAGCATCCGCGCACCCTTGGCTGTGAGGAGCCTCTACACGCCCAGGCACGGCCACCGCGTCGCTGCGCTGGGGGACCTGCAGGACGGGGGCCAGTACGTGGCTGCAGGCTTTGAAAAGTTCAAAAAGCTCGAGTGAGTATGTGGAGCTTTGGTCTCTGGGTTTGGTAGCTTTAGATCGCCTCCGTGGGGAATGTACTGGGCTGTGAATGGAAAAAAAGAGGTAAGAGGGATAGAAACCCAGCAAAAAGCAGAGAGAGATTAATTTATTTTCCTACTGGAAACTACTGGACTTCCAGATCGTGTGGAAAATGCAAATATTCCTGCTAAGGTCACTTGACTCTCAGAAGAAAACACGCTGGGGAGGCAGGCGTTCTCTGGCAGGATGTTGCGATGGGCGCTGCCCTGCCTCCCGCGCACCCTGTTCTGTGGCGTGTGGGAGGTTCTGCTGCCCGCGTCCTCGGCAAAGCCGCCAGCCACGCCGACAAACCCTGCTGCTGTGGTGTGGGGAAGGTTTTCTGTTGTCTAATCCTGCTCAAAGCAGAGCTGGTTTGGTTCATCCTGAAATACGGGAGGTGAAAGAAGCTTTTGGGGCATCACTTGGCTCTCAAGGGGGGGTGTGTGTGTGCCAGGTGAACTGGCTCCCTGGTGCGTTTGGCATTTGGCTGAGGAGGTTGTAACTGGCTGGGAATTTCTGAAATGCAGCAGACTTCAATTTAGACTGAAGTTCTGTGAGCCTACAACGTGAGGCACCTGGAGAATCATTTCAGAAATTACCCAAATAAGTGACCCGCACACCCGGTGGCGATGCACCACGGCAGAGCTGTCAGATGGCCTCTCACCCCTCTTCTATCCGCCGGGGCCCCGTCGGTGCGTGCCAACGTCACTGTCTTGTTCTCGCAGCTATTTACATCAGGGAAGGAAGGAGCTCTGCGGGACGAGGACCAGCGAGGGTCTGCAGGTGAGCCCCTGTGCTGAGTGTGGAAGAAGCAGGGAGGTGTGAGAGGCGTGAGGGCTGGCGCTGATTAAACTGAAGTTTAGAATTAAGGCTGCGAGGTGCCCAGTGGAGATGGGGCAGAAGTGCTGCTGGAATCAGCAGGACGTGAGACAGCGCAGGGGCTGCTGCTGCCTCTCTCCATCCCCCTTAACGGTGCGGGGGAAGGATCAGTGCTCAGAGGTCCGTTGGGATTCTAGAACGTGCTCAGCTAGGGAAAAGCCTCTCCAGCCTTGGCGTTGCTGACAACAAACCCCACCTAGCAGCAGCAAGCCTGGAGGCAGGGCAGGCGGTGTCCCCAGGCAGGCAGCTCCTGCTGGGGAAAGGGAGCAGCCCTGGGAGGCTCGGTGCCAGGGCTGTCGCTGTTCCCGTGCACTGAACTCAGTCTCTAGTTCCACGCTGGAGCTCCCTGGAAGCGGAACGTCTTGGCACGACAGCAGAAGCGCACCGACCTGCCCCGCACGATACAGTAAGTGCCTCGGTGTTTCCTTCTTGGAGGGTCTCTGGGAATGTTTTCAGAGGCTGGAGGAGGGAATTTCTCTGAGAGGTCCTGGGAATGCTGCCCCACAGGGACAATTCTCAGCTTCTACCAGAAGTATTTGTTGTAAAGACTGGCCAGGCACCACTGGCTGGCTTTTCTCCCCATCTTCCACGGGCTCATCACACGCTCTGGGTTGTTTCTGCTGCAGTGTTTTCCGGAATGGGGACCTGCTGAGCCCTCCTTTCCCACTGCCGCTCTCCGAGGGCACCTCACTGCAGTGGGACGCACTCCTGGACACGCTGACACGGAAAGCCGACCTGCACAGCGGAGCTGTTAGCAAGTGAGTATCCAGCGAAGGCACTGCTGGCTCCCTTCCCTTACGGCCAGAGCAGCAGCAGCTCCGATGAGCGCAAAGGACTAGAGCCTGCTTTTGCAAACTCATTTGCTTTCCAGGTTTTCCCATCTTTACACCAGAGATAACCCCAGTGTCCCGGGTGCTCTGCGAGGAGGGCTGATGTTGCTGGTGGTCTGGTGAAAAAGCAATAAGCAAACAGTAAAGCATGGCATAGTTTATTCTAGAGGGAAGGGCTTTTATCCAACACGTACAGCCTACCTTCTCCTCCTACATCGATTTACTGACACCCAAGGAGAAAGCTGAGATCTGCTGCAGCTCGCTGATTGCTGGGTGTAATATTTCTGCATACTTCCTCCGAGTAATACCAAGAACGATCGATCCTCTCTGCCGTGTCTCGGTCCCGTTTACCACTTTGCACTCATTCGATTGCTTCCACGCCGAGCGGCTGTTGGGGGTCCCGGGACAGCTCTAAGCCCTGTGCTCTCTTTTCCTTGAGGCTCTGCAGGCTGGATGGAACCCAGGTGTCTGGAGGAGAGGAGCTGGTGCATGGCGGTTACTATGTGGCAGTGGGAAAGGAGGAGTACAAAAAACTGCCTTACTCTGAGCTGCTGGTGCCCTGGGGTTCTGCAGGCAGGACGCTGAGGTGCGTAGACTGCGGCCGAGTGGGTTAAAGAATCCTCTCCACGGTGGTCTGCAGCTAAAGCCGTTCTTTTTGTAACCCTCGTGGTCAGTGCTGTCTGTTTCAGGGCTTGAGTTTTGCATCGCATTAGAAGTTTAGAAAGAAAGAATGTTTTTTCAAGGCAGAGTTTACAAAGCACTGCACTTCTCTCTACAATGTGTAAAGATGAACGTAACCACCAGGGGGAACTTCCGAAACCAGAGGACAGGGTGTAAATGCAGGGCTTCGCATTTTCAGAAAGCCCAGAGATTGCCATCTGGGTAGTGAACGTTTCCCTTCTGGAGTGTGAGAGTTACAGCTTCCCACTACAGTGAGGATATCAAGGGCTTTCCTGGATTTTTTTTTTTGGGGGGGGGTGGTGTGTGTGTGTTACTTCTATCCTTACTCCTGTCCAGAGAGTTGCAGGTAAACTTATACCAACAGCCAAAATGATACACCACAGTAAGGTATTTATTCCACTCCATTCACCCCATTCTGTGAAGTGTGTGAGGTCATTCCTGGCTGTGTTCAGATTCTTACACTGAAATCCAGTACCCCCAAATCTCACTTGCTAAGCAGAACTTGCCTGTAGCCCGGTGAAGCTGGTGTGGAATAAACATGTGATTCCCCAAGTACCTGAACACATTTATTAGACAGTAACAAGTTTAAGATCTTTTTTCTAAAGGGAAAAAAAGTAGCTCCTCTTAAAACAAAAAAATGTGCGTTAAAAATGTCTGCAAGATATTGTTCGTGGGCTATTCATGTTTTAAACCTTTCGCAAGGACATTTAGAATTGATGCAATGGGATGAATGTGTTCCACTGTGGGTGATTCACTGTTCTGCCTCCGCAGCCTCTTTGGATTAATTAGAACTTCAAAGGAAAATGACTCCTTTGACCTTACCTAGTAAGGAATTAGCGAATGGTTCCTGACTCCTCGGCTCAAGGGGAGCCTGCTCTCCTGGGTTTGCTTTTTTGCTGGGCCGGCATTTCTCAGTGGGGTGGGTCTGATGCCAGGGATCTCTGCTGGCCTCCCCCCTTGTCCCCCCCAGATCACAGTGCTACACAGTCATGTTTGAGGGTCCCAGCTCCTCTCTGCAGTAGGAGAGAATCCTTAGGCATTAAACTACCTTTGAGTGTAATGTGGAGACCCAAGTTTTCATACCAAAGCCGGGGTCAGACTGGAAACCGAACCCAGGAATGTAGTCCCAGAATCTTTCTGTAATAGCAAAGCGCTACATTAGTAACGGTATTTCCTTCTCACCACAAAAAGACATCGACCACAGAGAAATCACAAAAGGCTGAGGCAAGGAGAAGGGATGCTAGTGACTCCGAGGATGAAAACTACCGAATGATGTTTGCCGTGGCAGCAAAGAGCTCTGGAGAGTCCACAAGGGACCACGACAGGAGAGGGACAGTGAGGTACACAGCAATCTGCCCAGCTGCAGAGAACAAAAGCACAGGAATCCTAGATCTCTGTACCACCACAGCCTGGCCAAGCTTTTGATGAATTAACAAACTCTTCTAAACTCAAGCATCCTCATCAGCTGGGCTTGGGAAGCAGAGTAGCAGTGAGCGATGAATCAGATGCACAGGTTCATTAAATAATGAAAATCTTCCTCCTTTCCTCTTCTCTATGGCATGACGATGTGGCAGAGGAGATGGCTGCATTTCTGAACTGTCATTAAACTGGTTTGTGCCTGAGCTTGGGAAGGAAGAATTACCAAACAGAACACACGTTTTTAGAACAAAATGCCTGTGAGGAGGTTTGATCTACCTCAGGTACCTCTCACAAAGAGATCTCCTCGCATCATTGTCCCTCTCCTTGGGAATGCTTGGGTAATGTTCACAGCAATCAAACTTGTTCCCAAAAATATACACAGCTTGTTTCTGTTACTTGTTTTAGAAGCATCTGCCTGATTTAGGAAAAGTCATAGGAATAAATAGCTCTTGGATTAACCCTCTCTCTGCCAGGGATTTTTTTGTATTTCTCGTTTTTCTGTTCCTAATTACAAAGGTAACAAAATATTTTTTTTTTTTCTTCTGTAATGTACCTGGTATTTTTTGGCTGATAATTTCCCTGAGAAGAAAAGCACCTTTCCTTCCCTGGGACAAACTGCACTGCTGTTACTTTGGCAGAGTGCTTCTCATCTGTAGACTCCAGTGGAGAAAAGCGATGTGTAACCTCGGTGTAAGGGCTGCGCAGCGTGACCTGGTACGCTGCAGCTGAGCGCAGTGACGGGAGCCTCTTCCACCTGTTTGTCCACAAAAGGGAGAGCTGCTAAACAGATTCCTTCTACAGAAAAAAGAGTTCATCCCAGAAGCTCCTGTTGAATGATTTATTAACCATTTATTATCCCTCCAGTGCTGAATGAGACAATTTGATCCTCTTTGCCCTGGAACACCCACAGACACAACATTCCTTCACCAGATGCGAAATAGGATGTCCTTGCACCATGCCTTCTCCCACTCTGGTGCTCAGGGAACACAGTCCACATTTCATGACATCTATGTGTCAAAATACAGCTTCCCAGGTCCACCTGAGCCAAACCGCCTGCTGCTGAGCCAGAAGCTCCCGGGGGAACCTGGTGTGACCAGGTTCTCTTCCTCTGCTTCTCCCTGCGTCTCGTTCATGAACCAGCTACGCAGAGCGTGACTCCTACGACAGCGAGCAGCATCCCTGCCACAGCCCCTGCGGAAACGTACAGCCACTGCAGGGGTGTTTGCTGTTTTTCAGGAGACCAGAGGGCAGCCCACGCTATTCAGTCAGCAAACAGACGCAGGAGACAATGTGAGGAAAGGTTTGAAGTGTGACTTACTTTTACCACCAATGTCCTCTCCCAGTATCCTCCCAGTCACCACCGTGACTATCAAAGCCAGGGAGTTACAGAGCGGTACTGCCAGGGACAGATCTGAAACGGAACAGTTTTAACACAGTTAAAAATGGATAATCTTGTAGAAATTGTAAGACACTTTTTAAATTGGTGATTATTACAAGCCGCTTGATGTTTAGCTGAGTCACTAGAGTAATCAGTAGCACTGATCCTCCCAAAAATCCCCATCAACCCACTCCACAAAAGCCATGAGCACTAACCTGCAGATGCCAAGGTGAGATAGAAGAGGAGAGATCCACCTTGATTGAGCAGAAACGGCACCACGTACTGTGGGGAGAACACAGGCCTGTCAGCTGTTGCACACAAACCCACCGCGCACCCCAGGCAGCTCGCCCTGGGCTGTGTTTGGCAGCGGAAATGCAGCACGCTGGCGATTCTGCTGCTGGTCACAAGTTGTTCAAAGTCAGTTCCCCAATCTGCAGAAGGCACACTGTGCTTGTTCCATGAAAAATACAAGGGTGAATGACCTGCAATCTCAGAACATGGTCTCAATTCTGCATGGGAAAAGCAGTGCTTTAGGCAAGTAAATGAAATACTACTGAAGAGAAGTAATTCTGATGACAGATGGAATATTCAAAAGTTTAAATAAAGTATTGAGTCCAGAAGCAAACAGGTAGGAATGATCCCAAAGGCAGTTTGACACCCAGCTCCCTCCCGAGCCCAGGAGGCCGGATGAGGCCGTACCTTGTAGTTGAGGCCCAGGAAGC